TCCCTTCCCCCATGTTTTCTGTTGTTCTTCCCCCTGTAGAGGGGTGTATGGTTATGTGTCGATCATTGTAATCAGTTCCCCCTTTCTCCCTTCCTCTCCCCCTCTTCCCCCTACCCTTCCGGCATCACCATTCCCCCTCCTGAATTCTGTGTGTCGTAAGCTCCCATCCCTTTCTATACCTGTGGACATGTTCTGGTCAAGTCTGAATTTTTTTTTTTTAAGTATAAAAAAGATACTCTATTCACATGACCCTAGAGCCCTGGTGGCTTAGTGGTTATGTGTTTGATGCCCTGCTATCCACATGGTCGGCAATTCGAAATCACCAGTAGCTCCTCTTCAGGAAAAAGACTGGGCTTTCTACTCCCAGCATTTAAGTCAGGATTGACTCAGTGGCCGTGAATTTGGTTTTTGGTATTCATATGACCAGGCCAAAATAATATTCAATATTCTTTTTTTTAATGAGTCAAATTTAAAATACAATGAGCCCTATGACATCAGCATCGAATATAAAACGTTTCCCCCTTTTTCTTCGTCAGGCATGAGCATGTGTTAGATAGATAAGAAAAATGACATCATTCATGATGCATGTCATGACGCATATGACTGTGCTAAACCAAAAACCGAAACTCACTGCCATGAGTCGATTCTGACTCATAGCCCTTATAGGACAGGGTAGAATTGTCCCTGTGAGTTCCTGAAACGGTAACTCTTGACGGAAGCAGAAAGTCCTGTCTCTCTCCTTCAGGGAGGCTGATGATTTCAAACCATTGACGTGGCAGTTAGCAGTCCAACTTGTAACCACTACACCACCAGGAGTCCTGAGGACGCCAACTGTGTTGAAAACAGAACCTGAAAGAAGTCTTGAGAGCCTCTTGCTCACGCTGGTCATCTGGACATTCAAACTCACTTGGGAAATGATCCTTCTGAAACTATCCTTGACGAAAAGAGTAGCCCAAGGACTCACTGTGACTGTTAACGTTGAGATCTTAACTCCTACAAGTCACTGAGTGTCCTACCGGTCCTTACCACAGGAACCTTGCCTGGGATCCTGACCAGCCTAGACCACTGCACCACCAATGCTTGCTTTCACTTTGTGAATTTGAATGATTAACAACGGGATGATTCCTCTCTTCCTTCTAACTCACAGGACCATTGAGGCTCTGTGAATTCATGTATTGATCCTATTGCACGAGTAACTCTGACATTGTAGAAAGACATAATTTTGTGTAACTCATATTTTATGTGGCTTGCTCAAAACACTCTTCTTTGAAACCCTCGTTGTATTAACTGATGGGGCAAGTTGTTTTTTAAACACAACTTTAAACAAAACAATGACTTTACGTCAAACATGCTTTTGAAATCTGTGAGGTCATTTGTTGTAAATTACAATTTGGACACATCCACCCACCCACAAAAGTACTAAGAACAAATAGATTACTTGCTACAAAATGTTAAATATTTCTATCCTAAACCTACTACAAACAAAACCCCCCAAATCACAGTCCAGCCCAGTCCAGCTCACAGCCGTGTTCCAAGTAGAATTGAGCAACGGTTTCTTGACTGTCCTGTTACAGTTCCCGAAGCGGATCTAAAGGCTTCTCTTCTGCAGTGCCTCTGGCTGGATTCAAACGACTAACTTTTCAGTTACTAGTGGAGTAGCTGTCATGCATCGATCTGAGTCTTCCAAAATAGTTGTAAGCCTTACTCCCTACACCTGAGGTTATAATCCAATTTAAGGATGAGTTATCTTTGTTATGTTAATGAAGCAATGATGTAGGGTGTGTTTTGAGTCACTCTATGAAGATAGGAAAAACGGTATGCCCATTCACTCTGCCATCAGTCTACTCTGACTCATAATAGAGTTCTGACTGCTCCTTAGAGTTTCCAACACAGTAAACATTTACACAAGAAGACAGCCTCATCTTTCTCCTGCGGAGTGGCTGCTGGGCTTGCGTTGCCCAACTTCCTGGTGCCATAGCGGTTACATGATGGGCTGCTAACTGCAAGGTCAGCCGTTTGAAACCAGCAGTCTCTGCTGTGGAGAAAGATCGGGCTTTTGACTCCTGTAAACAGTTACAGTCTCGGAAATGCACATGGGCCATTCTACACTGTCCTACTGGGTCTCTGAATTGGCAACAGCTCAATGGCATAGACTTGGGTGTTTTGGGAATTGATGGTTAAGACAGCCTCTTGTGGTATTGCCGTTATAGCTTACTGTTGCTGTTGTCCCGTGCTGTTGAGTCAGGTCCCACTCAGCCCAACCCTATGTCCACGAGAACAACACACTGCCTAGTCCTTAGATGTCCTCGCAATTGTTATTTTTGAGTCCATGGTTGCAGCCACAATGTCAAGCCTCTTTTTAGCTGACCTACTTCACCAAGCATGATGTCCACGATGTCCTATTCCAGGGACTGGTCTCTCCTGAAAACATGGCCTGAGTATAGGAGAGGATGTCTCGCTATTTGTTGTCCTTCAGGCAGTCCACAGCATTTTCAATACCTTTGCCAGCACCGCAATTCAAATGCATCAATTCCTCTTCAAGCTTCCGTACTCACCATCACTTTCACATGCATATGAGGCCACTGAAAACACCTTCAGCTTCAAAGACACGCCTTATTCTTCAAAGTAACATCTCTGCCCTTTAAGAACTCTTGCGCAACAGACTTGCTCACTGCCAGCCAAACTCACTGTCATCTACTTGAACGCACTGCCATCTAGTCCAAGTCCACTCCGAAAAAGCTACCCTACAGGACAGAGTAAACTGCCCCTGTGGATTTCTGAGACTGTAACTCTTTTTGATTTCTTGATGGCTGCCACTGGGCATCGTTTGTGGATCCAAGTGAAACAAACTGATACAACTCTAACAATTTGTGGGCCCCAACCAAAAAACCCACTGCCACCAAGTCATTTCTTTGTTTTTCTTCAAAAACTATTTTATTGGGAGCTAATACGGATAAATCCTTCCATAGTTCAATCAAATCAAGCAGTCCTGCACAATTGCTACCACAATCAGTGCAAAACATTCTTTTCCTTCTTGAATTCCCTGACATCAGCTCCCCTTTAACACCACCAACACCACCCCTCAATTCGTTTCTGACTCATAGTGACCCTACTTAGAGCTTCTGAGGTTGTAAATCTTTACTTGGCAGTTTAGTCTCATTTACTCTCAAGGAGAGTTTGAACCACCAACCTTATCATTAGCAGTCCAACGTTTATCCCATAGCGCCACTGGGGCTCCTTTTGTGGCACTCTGGGACCCCCCTAAATCCGCTACTATGAAAAATACATGGGCAAACATGAATGCACACGCAGGCATTCCAGAAGCAGACAGTACGGCCGCATCATTACACGTCAATAGCCTATGGAAATCTCCACTCATAATAAAACAAAGCAAACCATGTCTTATCATCCTATTGGAAAGAGCTTTGACCTCAGAGAACTCCTGAGAGGATCTGGGGCGACGTCCCACACTGGGGTCGAACCAAAGCGATTCATTCCAATGTCATTCCACATTACTGGCAACATTTCAACTCTGTCCATAAGGTTTTCCGAAGCTAATTCTGTTCTTGGTCTGGAAGCTCTGCTGAAACCTGTTCACTTGGGTGGGCCTGCGGGCCTTTGAAATACCTGTGACCTATCTTCCAGCCCCCCAACTACACAGAAGACACCCTAGTACGGTGAGCTGGCAGACAAGTGGTGGACATAGTCCCAATACAGTGTGTGTTCGAGAATATAAAAATCTTGAGTGTTTTGCTCCCATCCCCAGACTGTGCTTCGACAGCCGGTGGCTTCAGGTGACCACAAGATCCCTTAGCGAGTGGAACCCAAAAGAAAAAAGCCCCGGTCGCGTTTGAGAAC